ATGTAATATGTTGAATGGTTAAAGTGTATAATATTAAGCAAGAACATGAAATCATCATGTCTTCAGGTTAAGAACTAGAGACCACTAGATATCATGATTGGTTAAGTAACAAAGGGGGTCCTTGAAAAGGATTAATGAGACATGCAAATTACAGAGAGAAACTTAAAATGGTTGGAAATGGGAAAAGAAATGACACGGCCCAAGGAGCACACACTAGGAGATGAAAGGATGCCAAAAATTCTTTTTCTACACACTGATCTATATTTGAAAGCTTGTCCATGGGAGACTGGGAAAGAGGGAAACAGAAGAATGCTGTCTCTCTGGCTGCTTCTAGATTCAACAGTAAAAGAAAATAACCTCCTTTTCTTTGTTTTCCTGTACCATTTCTTTCCCTGTTTCCATGCTTAACATTGTGGAAACACTTGAATAAATACTTTGAAGCAAAAATAAATGCACTTCCAAACTCTAGAACAGCATTGGCAAAGCAAAACATACTGCTCGATTACCTGAAAATATCCATTGTAAACATGACTTCTCTCAATTTCAACCTGAGGTCCTCTCTAACCTTAAGTGAGTAGGACTCTGTACTTGAACTGAAATCCTTCAGTATGTTAGGTGACTTGGACAATCACTGGCAGTAAAAAATAAACTTGCTCCCTAACATACAATGTTTATCCTGGGAGCTGGTAACAGACAGTAGTAGTCTACATTGAGGGACTTTAGCTTTGGCTTATTAAAACAAATGGCTTGATTATCTGGTCATACTTCCCATAAACTGGCTTGGTGAATATTTAGAAGCAAATCCCCTCTGGAAAAAGAAAAAGAAAAAACTCATTCAAGATCATTACTTTGGAACAGAAAGACTCTTGTTTGTTTCAGATGATAGAAATTGTTGGCCTCAAAAAGGAAATGCTCCTAGTAGACCAACAGTTTCCTCTTCTCATTTTTAAAAATCTGATAGCTCATTATTCACTTGATTATTTCCTAGGAGGCTTGGAGGGATATTTTAAAAATCAACAAAAATTCTAATTACTTTTCATTAACTAACTTCAGAGTTCCTTCTGAAAATTCTCAAGGACTAAAATTCTTTGAGATGAAGGAAGATATCCAGGAGTTTTATAAAGCAGAATATACAAGCTTGAGGCAAGAGACCTGGGTTTTAGCCCCAAACCATAAGACTTCAAAATATACCTCATTTCCTAATCCTAAAGCAAATGTGTTAAATGTTCCAATAGACTTCCAGGTCCAAGAAACTATGATTCCCAGTGCTTTGAAAAACAGGATAGAGAATTAATTAATGAAATATTGACGGAGGGGATAGGGATCATATATCTCAGTGGTAAAGTGTGTGTAATGCTCTGGGTTTAATGACAGGGAGGAAAGACAGTGGGAGAGAGAGAATGGGGGAAGGGAGAAAGGGAGAAAAAAAGAAAGTTTAAAAAACAGAAAGGGGGGGAAAGAAAAGGAGAGAGAGAACAGATCCCTTTTGTCTTACCTCATGCTAAACGTGGTAAGTGGAAAACAGTAAGTCTTCCTTCCTAAGGAAATTTACAGTCTAACAAGCTGATAAGGAAGCACAATAATTCTGGAAGGCAGAATATGACAACTATCACAAATGTGTGAGTCAACTTTCTTGCTTTCTCGGATTGCCAGCTAGTGACCGTCATTAAATGGTTTTTTGCTGACTGAGGTTCTGGAAAGGCTGAACATCAGGGAGCTTTTCTGAGACTTGGGAAAACAGATGATAAGGAGAATGAGATAACATACCCTTAAGGCCACAGCACCACTAGGAAGTTCATCATTTACCTCTGTCCTTAGAGCACAGAACAATGCATGTCCCTGTTAATAAGAGTTTATGTTTGTTCAAAACTAGTACCACATACGTATGAATATAAATATCACATCAGCCCTTCCAGAAAATGCCTAGGGAAAATTCCTATTAATTAAAGGCTTCTGGTAGTTGGATTCTGATTAACTGAGATTTGTTTGTTCATTACAAACCTATCCTAAGTCCCTGGCTATATCTACATCAACTACTCTCCTCCTGCTTGCATGCCCTTTGCATATAGAAACATCAAGGGGAAAACAGAAAAAAAATGTATATTGAATCAAGACATACTCACCCCTCCCATATAACATCAGAATTTTAGGACTAAGTCTGGTACTTTATTCCCAGATCTTAAACATAGGAACCAATACAAATACAACAATAAAATTGATGTAAATATCATTTTTGTTTTTAGTTGACCCTGTTACAAATCAAATGGGAATTCAAAATAGCTATATTTAAACCAAAAATAGAAGAAAGCCTTAACCAAGTATAGCCATGTTATCCCGCTATAGGAAGTGCATGTATTTTCTATTGACACAGGAAGAAAGCCCCCAACATGCCTGAGTTTGTGTGGCTTCCACTGTGAACACCTTAGTTCAGTCTTTGCAGGCACTGAGAGTTTGACAGTCAGTCCTGCGGGTTTCAATTACTGGCTTGGAAACACTAAGTATTTTTTAAATCACCATTGGGCTTTATTAGGAAATTTTCTCAGATTAAGAGCAACAAAAATGTAGTAATTAGAAAGTTTGTCATGCAGCTGCATGATTAGAGGAGCTCTTTACTAGATTCTAACAGATGTTACAACAAACCGTTTGAAGAATGCTATGAGAACCACAGTTCATAAGAGCAACACAAAAGCTAGCTATTGTTCAAACCCACGTTGCCATAGGACCCTTATATTTAAAATAATTTAGACCTCTAAGTTCCCCTACAGAGAGGCACCAAGCAAATGCAAAATAAGAACAGTAACAAAAAATAAAATAAAACATGGAGATTTGACTTCTTCACCATGCTAACAGTAAGAGGCAAATGCAAATGATAGAGCCATGCAAATGTCTGGACTTACATGCTACTGAACATGGAAACAACCCTAAACAAGCACGGCATTTCATAAAACACTCAGTTGACCTTTCCAGTTCAATGAATCTTATCCTTGTTGGGACACCTTTGCCTCAGTCCAGATATGGCAGGGTCAAACTGTCTTTGCCCAAAGGTCATAACGAATTGACAACTGAAAGGAACCACACAATGGTCTAAACAGGGCAAAGCATTAAGTAGATTGGTAACACCTAGTGTCATATTACTAGGAGCAGAGCTAAAATAGAAGGTGGTAGCCAAACACTACTATTCTATTATCAACCTTCTTTTTTTTCCTTTCTTTTTTTTTAAAGACAGAGACTCATTATATACCTCTGGCTAGCCTAGAACTAGCTGTGTAGACCAGGCTTGCCTCAAACTCACAGAGATCTGCCTGCCTCTGCTTCCCGAGTACACCACCATGCCCAGCCAACTTATTTTTAATCAACATATATAGCTATCAAATAGCCTTCCAACTGAGCAAATATTACCCGTTTCACTCTGAAAAATAGTAGCATCTGATGCAGTATCTACTGAGGAATACAGCTCGAGGCCAAAGATTAAAACTCTACATAAATTCTTTTTCAAAATCATGTCTGCCCTTGCACAGCCCCCTCATCTTTTTGTTACTTTAGTGATGTCAGCCATGAAATATAAAAAGAAAAAATCCTTCCCTGCCCTACCAGCATGACTTTAGGATGAATCAGGCAGTTCCTCTAAGGCATTCTAAGATGCCTATTGAGGGCAAGTCTACAAATATAAGGCATTATAATTAGAATCACGTACCTCACTTCATGAAGAGGAGTGAGTGAATGAAGGGTGGAACTTGTGATCGTGCAGCCTGAGAACTCAAAAAGGATGAAAGTCCCTATAATCTGAAGGAGTCTGACCTGGCTGAGTCAGAGAGGTCAGTGACAAACCTGTGACCACCACAGAACGTTCTCAGAACGTAGGGAGTCTTCCTGATTGTCTTTGCAGCATGATACTACATTTCCATACTCATCATTAAGGTTTAGATTTGAGAGTGGCACCAAAACAGTGACAATTAGTTCTTTTTTTTTATTTTATTGTAGTGCAGTAGGCAAAATACATCTTGCCTAACACAGTAAGGTGAACTGGTTATACAAAGTACTGTTCAAACTAAGGTGCATGAACTGAAATTGTTCTCATGTCTTTAGTTGAATCTTTTGTAGCAGTCTTAGCTGTAGCTGTAATCTAAAGTATTGTTAATAACTAGCAAAGGCTAGTGATACATGCCTTTCATCCTAGCACTCATGAGGTAGAGTCACTTGTAACTCTGAGTCCCTGGCCAGCCTGCTCTACATAGCAAGCTCCAAGCTAGACAGGGCTACATAGTGAGACCCTGTCTTTAGAAAAGTGGAGCAAGAAGTGGGGCTCCTGACAAAATTCACTATTGATAAAAGATATGCCTGCCAAGTTTAAGACTGTGAACACCAGGAAAAGTGAATAAGCGATTTGCACATTGTACACTTACTACCCCTTTGAAGGTAAATAAGAGAAAAGAATCACAATACAATGTGACCTCAGTACTACAATGTCTTGGGTTAAGAGATGAAAATCAGACACGTTGAAAGAATGTCTAGACAGTCAAAGAGGATTCTTATAGAAAGCTTCTTAATGGCTACTCCTAAGTGCCTTGCCTTCAACTGATGTCACTTCAAGAGTTCTGAGAGTCCTTTGCACATCTCTTGACATCTTTCAAACTACTGCTTGTGCTTAACTCGAGAACCTCCTACTCAATAATCAATAAATCGCTCCTCCTCCCTCTTTCCTGGCCAATAGAAAATCAATTTTTACTTGATGGGCTGCTTTGATTCAGTTTTCTCAAACGTGCAAAGGAAACACACATCCTTTTTTCACACACATTAACTTAATTTCTGTCTCACCCACTCAAGCACAATGCAGTCTTTAAAACACTGACCTAATCCCCTGTACCATTTGGTATCCATAGCAACCCCCACCAAGATGCTCAAGGAGAGCTTCAAGTAGTGGCAGGAAAGTGCACCTCCTAGCAGAGCCATTAACTCTTCTGCATTAGTCACATCAATAAGGGGTGGCAACAGGCCCATACCTGAATCCTCAGGCATTTCTGTCTTCAGAGAGGAGGAGTGTTGTTCACACCTTTTTCCCAAAGAGTGAGAGTTGTGTTCAGCTGTTTTTTATTCTCCACCTGTTGAAAATGAAGCACTAAGTGTCCATGTTGGAAGGAAAAAGAGTTTTTCTTGAAAACACTTCTCAGTGATACATTTCCCAGGTGACTCTACCAACTGTAGCCTCCACCAGAAAAACCCTGCTAACTGACTATAGCCAGGGATCAATCTCTGTCTGTCTGTCTGTCTTCACACATGGAGGACAGAGTTTGGCATCAGGTGTCTTCCTCAATTGCTTCCCCATCTTATGTTTTTAAGGCAGGGTCTCTCACTGAACCTGCAGCATATTGATTCAGCTAGACTGACTAACCAACAAGTTCCATCCAACAATCATCTTCTCTCTGTCTCTTCAGCACAGTGATTACAGGCACACCCTGCTGCACCTCAGTTTTATGTGGGTACTATGGATGGAGCTCACTTATTTGGTTAGCTAGGCTAGCTGGCTAGCAAGCCCTAGAAACCCTCCTGTCTCTACCTCACAGCATTGCAGTTACAAGCATCCCCTGCTGCACTGGGCTTTTATGTAAGTTCTGTGGATCTGGACTCGGGTTCTCATGTTTCTACCACAAGCACTGAACTATCTTCCCAGCCCTAGAGCCAGTGATTTTGAAATCCTGTGAAGATAATATACATGAAATACTACCCAGTTTCTTTTAAAGTTGTTGCCATTATATGAGCTATAACTCAGCGTCTCAACTTTCTTACCCTTTGACAAGTCAACCATGCTCCAGTGGAAGGTCACACATCCAAGAATATTTGGGCAGCACAAATTTTGACCTTAATGGGAGGGGGTTAAGACAAAATGTTGGATGGGAAGATGATGGGAGAAGAGTAAATCTGTGAGGAATCTAGGGAGAGAAGGTGAATATGATTAAAATTCATTGTGCAAAACACTCAAAGAACTAATGAAAAAAGGAATACTCATGCAACAATCTTATGGCAGCAAATTATAAACTGCAACATTAACAATGGTCCTGTTACTAGAATACTTATGAACCAATAGAAAATGTTATAATTTCTCCAAATACAGAAAAAGCCATCCGGCTTGCAAATTTTCTTCATGAGTTCCATAATATTTGCTCTGCTCACAGTTTTATTGAAAAGTTGTCACGTGGTGATAAATTTCCCTTTACTGTACTCTAGAAGATAGATTTGGTTCATGGGAATGATTCTGTCTGCAATTTCATTATAAGACAGTTCAACATTATCTGACATAGACATTTTGCATACAGAGGATCATCTCAGACTCAGCAGTTTACGGTAAGGACCCATCACTTAAGTAGACTCTTTTCTAGACTCTCCACAATAGGAATACTATGTGGAGTGGGAGGAACAAATACATAGGTTTATCTTCTTATTTGCATCAATATAAGGAACGAGGAAGCCACTATTCTCAATCCTTCCCAGTGGATCTACTGAAATATAAGGAGATGGTTTCAGCAAGGCAAAATTCTATTTTCATATTGCTTATCTCTCAAGTCTTGAGTGAGAACTAGCCATAAGTTTAAAGAAAAGGTTAAAAAAAAACAGGCATCTTTCATCCCTCAAGACTAGAGATTCATCCCCATGAACTGATAATTGAAATCCATCATGATAAGTGCATTGTTAAAGGAGCACACAGATTGTAACAGGGAGGCAAAGGAAACATAATTAACTCAGCCTGACTTAGCCAAGCAAGAATCCTCTCCCCTCATGATTGAGCTAACTGGGTAATCAAGAACCAAGTGAAATTCATATGATTTTGTGGAAGGAATGCACACTTCTGTTTGCCTATGTATGGCAATGCTCCCTTACTTGTCAGAATGAATGCCAATAAACAACAACAAATGAAAACTTGAGGCTGATTAAAATGTCATAAAATAAAATGGTAGAAAGCACCTGCTGATAGTATGGACTATGGGGGCTGCAGATATGACATAGCAGCTAAGAGCATGTACTATTCTTGCAGAAGACCTCAGTTCTACTCCCAACACCTGCATCTTTGCAACTCCAGCTCCAGAGGATCTGACACCGTTTTGGCCTCCAAGAGCATCTTTAATCATGGGCACATACACACAGAGAGACCCATGTGCATACACATAAATAAATAAATCTTTTAAAAATTTTCATTGGATATACTGGCCATAATGCAATTTGACCTTTTACCATAACCTTTAGATCCTCTAGAAACAAAATTTTTCCACTAGCCAATAGTATATCATGGTTACAAATACTACTTAGGCATTCAACTACTTTTCCATTTTAATTTAGGTGTTAAGAGATGGACTAGCATGCATAACTGTATCACAACTAGAGAATAAAAGAACAAGGATTTAAGAGTTTGATTTCAGGGCCCATGTTCTTGTAGATACCAGATTATGCCAATACAAGGATCAAATAGCCAAGTATGCATGAGTTCTCTTGATTAGGCCATCTGTCTTCTCCATCCCATTCTACACACTTCCTACCCAAATACAGGGAACTGGTGCTAAGGTTAAGGATAGGCTATTCACATAAAAGTATATCACACTAGAAAAATAACATGTCAAGAGAGTCCCAGGACCCATTCTTCTCCCCCATTTCTGTATCCTTTTCATTCTTTTAACCACAAATGTTCATTGAATATCTACCTGCAGAGCACTACACTGAAAAACACTCACAGTATGAAGTAGGAATCTGGGGTTCTCCCCTCAAGGAATGATAGGCAAAGTAGGATGGTGGAATACATATCTGTATGGAATAAACAGTTAGTAGACTGGAAAAGATGAGAGTTTGAGACCATATAGGAATCCATCAAACACAAAAAAATAAGTGATCATTAGACAGCTGAAACAGAAGCTGGTATTCATGAAGACAGGGTTTTGTGCTTTGCTCATGCTGTATCCCCAGCCTGACAAATACTAGGTCTTGATAAACATTTGGAGTCTGTGGGTTGGTTGGTTGGTTGCTTGTTTGTTGGTTGATTGGTTGCTTGGCTGTTTGGTTGCTTGGTTACTTGGATTTTTTGAGATAGAGTCTCTCTATGTATCCCTGGTTGTTCTAGAATTAGCTATATAGACCAGGCTGACCTCAAACTCACAGAGTTCCATCCACCTCTGCCTCCCAAATGCTAGGATTAAGTGCATGTACCACTATGCCCAGCAGTAAACATTTGTTGAATTAAATAAATTCATATCCTGACTTTTTGTGCTGAGGACAAGGGGAGCATCAATTCTCTTTGGAGATAATCCCTAGGCCTATAAACATTGCATACATAATGTGGCTTTTATTTTTTGGTGCACAACGGGAGCCTTTTAGACATACAGAAATGACTACTGTACTTATGACTTAAACCTTTCTAAATTCCCACCAAAGCCATGTATGGGTATTTCCTAGAAAAACGTTTCAAAGAAACACAACTTCTGCTATTTGTTTTTCTCATCTAACAAGGCCCAATTTTGATAATGATTTAAAAATAAGATCCTTTAGTGTATTATAGTTAAGACTGAAGAATAAATAGTTATGATTTCTGTCAGTAGGCAAAGGTTGTAAATCTCTGTTTTAGATATTCATACTCTGCTAAGGGGGGGGGTCAGTTCATACAGGCTTCAGAACATCATTTTATTTGTTTAAAAAGTAAGATAAGGAGAGAAAAGAATTTTCAAATAGTCGTTTTGTACATCCCTAAGTGGTCGAATTACTGTTCTTCCAAAACTTTCCACTACAGTATAATTTCTTTTCCACTTATTTCATTTTGAACATTCTACAAATTCTGTCTAAAGACTCGGCTTCCAAGGCTATGGGAGATAGAGGCAATTAGACAAAATTGGGCTTGTTTAGGATAGTATGGCCATAGACATAATATATTCAATAAGAACATATCAAAACACCAAGGGGAGACCTAAATATATATTTGAAAAAAAAGGAATTGAAAATAAGACCATCCCACTGTAACTCTGACTTACTTTTTCATCTCAGGTACCATAGTGCTGTGCCAGCATGCAGCACCAAGGAAAATATAATTTAAGTATATATTAGAATTAGTATTTGATATATTTAATGTATATTATACTAATAATTAATATTGTATAATATGTTAAATGAATTGGGTCTGATTTCACAATGTTAGGGGAGAAGCCTAAACATGTGTGTGCTCTGCTCTAACTTCTTCCTTTTGAGCCCTAGCGATGTACCTCCCAGGCATTAGAAAAGCCCAGTTCACCACACCGAATGGTGCTGAACACGTTGTCCACTCTGTTCCAGCCACCAGGTGTAGTTCAGAAGGTACCTTCTTCTTGTGGCAGAGTCTAGGAAAATTTTTCAAAGCTCACATCTAGTGTAACCTTATACCCCTAAACCAAAAAAAAAAATCTTTGATTAGAAAACTTTCCTGTAATGCAAGAATAAACACTGTCTTCTAGAGTTTTCCATGTTTTTAGAACATTTTCACAAGATTTCATTTTGTCCCTCTGAAGTAGGTAAGACTCATAGTGACTTTATTTTTTTCCATTACAACGAGAAACAGAGATTAAATAACTTGCCTAAGATCATACATTTACGATTGCTGCCTTCTATTCCTTATTTCCTGAAAAATTCAGCCCGTTTTATGTACCACATCTAAAAGGATGTATTTGGAAAGGCAGCAACGGAACTCTTGTTGCACAACATTAACTGCCCTGCCAGAGTCCCCCCTTTGCTTTCCAAAGGTATGGGTAATAACCTTTACTGTGCGCTTAGCCATTTCTCTCCCCACCCCCTCCTCTGTTCCCTGAAAGAACAATTAAGATCCATCTGGGACTAATTATAATGATTCTTGAATTTGAACTTGCAACCATTACCCAGTTGAGGTCACTTATTTTAAATTAACTTGCCTGGTCAGAACACAGGTTTGGTTATCTTCAGAACACAGTACAGAGAGGCCCTGGCTCACTCAGACTTTTAATTAACTAGCTAAATAACACACACTGTGACAAGTTGCCCAAGATTTGATGGAGTCATTCATTTGCATTCAGACAAGGATCAAAATACATTGTCAGAGCTTCAGGGACTGAGTCCTTGAAACCTTCACACAGTCTCTTGTTCAAGGCTGTGTGCTTCTTCCGTTTGGTTCCCTCTAATTATTTTTCCTGTGCTTTTGTTCTGATTATCCAACATTCATCACAAGTGCAGCTTGTGATTCAACAATGACAATTCATGTCATATGCTGATAGGGAATCGAAAATTAGAGTCATGATCATATGAGCCAAGCACATAGCTTCAAGAACTAATTAGGGAAACCAAAAGGAGATACCCAGGATGTCCAGCAACAAAGCAGACTTTCTAAAGAGATGGGCCTCAACTTATCCCCACTTATGTAATCATATGTAATAACAGTAGGTAGTCTTTGTTACATAGAATGCATGATGGGAGCTGATCATCCTGCAATAATAACAATAGTAATGGCAATTCTTATCAACAGTGATCAGTAGTAGTAGTAGTAGTATGATTGTTAACAGTGACTAGGCTTTTGAGTATGTTAAACCTGATTTTGACCTCCATCTCCAACACTGTATGCCTATGAGTCCTAAGGCAAGTTGACAAACTTTTATGAGCCTTAAGGTCTTAGCCTGAATAATACATTCACAATAGGGCCTACCTTAAAGGATTTTGGTGAAGATTCAGAGAAATAAACTCTCTGACTCAGTAAAGGGCTTGCTGCACAAGCCTGAGGGTCTCAGTTCAGACCCCCCCAAACCCATGTTTAAATAACAAAGGCTAGGGAGGTGGAGATAGAATGATCCCTGGGACTAACTGGCCAACCAATTCAGCTGAATAAGTGAGTTCCAGGTTAACTGAGCTCACCATGTGACCTCATCTCACAAGAATAAGATGGAGATGTAATTGAGGAAGATACCTAATGTTGACTCTAGCCTACACACACACACATATACAAAAATGTGGAGAGAGAGAGAGAGAGAGAGAGAGAGAGAGAGAGAGAGAGAGAGAGAGAGAAGAGAGATTCTTAAAAATATTTTAGCTGGTTCAGGTGGTATACTCCTTTAAGTCCTGTATTTGAGTGTCTGAAATAGGAAAATTGCTATAAGTTTAAGACCAGCCTGAACTATATAAAGATTTTAGACCAGCCTGTACTGCATGGTGATATCCTACCTCAAATGAATAAATAGGTGATATATGGGTAGGCAGATAGATATGTAGGTAGATAGATAGATAGATAGATAGATAGATAGATAGATAGATAGATAGATAGATAGATGAAAGACAAATATTTAACATTTAAGAGACTGCTTTGCTATTTTAGTCACTTTTTGGTTTCTGGGATAAAACATTATGACCAAGACAATATATAGAAGGAAGAGCTTATTTGTGTTTACAGTTTTAGCAAGATAAGAGTCCATCGTGGCAGGGAGGCATGCCAGTAAACAGCAGACATAGCTGTAGCAGGATGCTGAGAGCTTCTATATCCTTTACCATGAGGATGATACAAAGAAAGCACGGATAATGTTATGAGGCTTTGACACCTCCAAGTGATGTACTTCCTCCATCAAGACCATATCTCCTAGTACTCAACACTGCCACTGTCTGGATCCCAAGTGTTCAAATGCTGAAACCTATGGGGGACATTCTCATTCAAACTACTACACTTCTGCATAAGTCTTGGAAAAATACTATGCCATAACAAAACTAGTCTTCTATAGTCTTCAGTTATATCCCACCAAAAGGTCTTTGTCCAAGGCTATTTCCCATCTGGGATTTTTTTCCTTCTCCCTGAGGGAGGGGTAAATAGAAGGCACATTACTTTGTGGTTTATTTACCACCCGTTTCTCATCATTTTAAACCTATGTCTTCAATACTCAACTTCCAATTGCAGACCTCAGCTCCTTCCCACTTATTCCCAGTGCTATCCTAATAAATGGCATCAGTATCCGTCTGTCCCCAAGCACTAATGTATCTCCATTCTTCTCACTTAATAGCTGCAGGGTATTTTTGTTTTGTTTTGTTGTTTCTTGTTTGTTTGTTTGTTTGTTTGGAGTTGAGGGACATAAAATCAAGCAAGGTTTTGTTCAGGAGGCTGCCTGTGAACTGGGTCTTGAGGAATGGATATGATTTCTGCAGGGAAAGATGAAGGCAATAAGGAGAATGAAAAGAGCATAACCAATATAGGACAAACACTTAGAGTCTGTCTTAAGAGCTAAAGATACATTGTTTCACACATTTCTTACTTTGATTCTATGAAGTAGCTATTAGTGATAGATGCCTTTTCTATGTAGGAGGCTCAAACCTAGAAAGCATAAGTTAATTGCTCAAAGTTACAATAAAAAGTAGGATCTCTAACTCAGCAATCTAGCCTTCCTTGGTGACTACACTACTTTATTCCTTCCCGTGATTATATCCTCTATATTTCCTATGTTACAGGTGGAAAACTAAGGCTGGGATGTAATGTAACTTGCCTGGGATCATAAAGCTAATAACTGATAAATCCCCTTTAATTTACTATCTGCCATTTACACAGCCCTTTTAACTTAGATTCTCCCACCATCATTCAACCACAACTTTTTATATAAGACCTGCCTACCTCACACCAAATGCTCATATTATAGTTGCCTCAAATATAAATCTCTCTTTTAAGAACCTATTGCTGCCCCCTTACTAGACCAGTAAAATTACTAACTGCATTCTAAATATGATGCTTATACTCATAGATAAGCAGAACTCTCACCCCTCATCTAAGAAGTTCTTTCTACAGCAGATAGAAACTTCTACAGAAAGCCACAACTGGTCAAAACGCAGAGAGCGATTGACCATGGGGTGCCCAGTGCCAGCTGATACATCCACAACACAAGCCTATGCCTAAGGTTCAGAGAACATCTCTGAAGAGGGGGAGGAAAGATTGTAAAAGCCATCCTTGAAATGACAGGGAAGATCCACCCATGAAATCTCAACAGTTTGGCCACCTAAACAAGACCTGAACAATTCCAACACCATTAGACA